GAGACTTGACCAAGTAACTTGACCAAGGCCTCCACAGCTGGTGACAGAGCAGGAATTTGAACCCATACTCTCAACTAAAGTTATTAAGAACCGTGCGTACCAAACTGTGAGGCAGAAGACTTGATCATAGATACTGACTATGACAAATCATACAATAACGTATCTGAATAAAGAGTCCCTAATGGCAGTTTTTACATTATGTTTTTAACTTTTGGCAGATATTAGCGAAAACATACAGGGATGATAATTCCTAAGGTAGCAATACAATCTTATTTAGATTGTCCTTATATGCAAAATAGAATACTGTTTATATATAGAGTTTGGATTTTCTGAAATGAAGTATCAACAAGCGACATTTCAGTAATACAAGGAACTACACACAATAAAAAGAATGGCATCGGGGCGCCTGGGTGGCTCAGTCGGTTAAGCTGCCGACTTCGGCTCAGGTCATGATCTCGCGGTCCGTGAGTTCAAGCCCCGCATCGGGTTCTGTGCTGACAGCTCAGAGCCTGGAGCCTGTTTCAGATTCTGTGTCTCCCTCTCTCTGACCCTCCCCCATTCATGCTCTGTCTCTCTCTGTCTCAAAAATAAATAAACGTTAAAAAAAATTTTTTTTTTAAAAAGAACGGCATCAAAATTTACAAGTAATGTCTCATTTATCAAGGTAAGACTACATATTAAGTTCTACAAAAACATTAAGAAATTCACTTAGAATCTGACAAATTCATAAAGGATCATTTGTTAGCTTAACAGAGTTTCCTAAACTTCTGTGACTCTACAGTACTCATTTATTCAATAAATGTTTAAGTGCCTACTATATCAAACTGTAGTAGGCACTCATGAATTGGTCCTGCTCTACAGCATGATAAAACAGATTCTCAGTAAGACTCTTAAGTCTTGGTACTGATAGATTCTTTGAATCCCCTCATCTTTGTATGACAGACACACCCAGAGTACACTTGGAACTAAATTTCAGTGAACAAAAAAATGTGATGAAAATGTAAAGGCTCATGTAAAGACGGCAATGCAACATGTGAAAATAACACAGGCTCTGAAATCAGACGCTTACTCTGCAACCTGCTAGCTATGGGAACTGGGCAACTTCTCTGAGTCTACCCATTGATAAAATGGAGGCACTGCTACCTCTCTCAGAGAATTCTTAAACTACTAACAGAGAGACAATTCTTAAACTACTAACAAAGCAGCTAGCATCCAGAAGGTGTTCAATAAATGTTTATTCTTTCACACCGAACAGTGAAAAGTTCGCTGGAAGACGAGAGTTTTTAGGGTTAGGACTACTAGACTTTCTCCACTCCAATTCTCAATTTTTACACTGACATGACAGCAGAAGAGTGACCCATCCAATTACACTAGTTTAATGGCTGAGTCAGGCCTCACTGTCCAGTGCTCTTCTCCACTAAATGCCCTGACTCAAGATTTTAAAAGCCAAATTTACAAACAACGTAATTTAGATCAGTACGCACTTGTACTGTCAATTAAACTGTATTTAGTGAAATGCCAAAATTTAAACTATTCTGATAAATCCATGCTTTAATAAACAGCCAAATATTGTATCTGAAGTGCTTCAAAAAGTTTTTCAAGTAGAAACTAAAATTTTAAATAGACTGCATCTTAAAATAATCAAGATAAATACGAGTGATCTTTTAATTCGAATATGATTAGCTTACAAATTACGGAGTACAATCACAGCCAGTCCTTAAAAGGAAACCATGCTTTTAAAACCACCTTCCTAGCTCCCCGAGTAGAGTCCTGGCTCTTGGATTGTATATTTTAGTTGGTTTTCTAAAAATACTCTCGATGCCTAAAAGAAAGTAAAACTACCTTATTAGTTGGTAAAACAAGGATCAATGGAGTGTACTGGGGGGGCAGAACGCAGAGAAAGGGATGTTTCCCTTTTAAAGATATCCCTTTAACAAAGTACCATATGGATTATGTATGAAATCACAATCAGACTGCTCTGAAAATATTTCAGAGTTAGACAATGCTGTTTTACCTTTTAATTCTTTATTATTCAAAATGTTCTATGGGCAGAATAGCACCGGGGCATTATCTCCCAGTCTCTGGCTTTACAAAACGTCCTTCCTATCAAGGACTCATTCAAAGTTTTTACAAATTTCACCAGAGTTCAAAACAGGTTTTCTCGAGGAGTTGTACATTTCTTACAAACACCTAAAACTACGATAAACGAGAAGGGTGATGGTTTTACTTTGGTCGGCTGCATCACTACATACGGGTCCTCAAAGAGCAAGCGGGCAGGTGGTCCGGTTCACTGTGTACCCCCAAGATCCTAAGGTGGTTCTGCTCGGCCAACCTGACGACCAAATACCCCGTGATGATCTCCTTAAGTTCAGAAGTACCAACGAGAGTAAGTACTAGGAGCCTTGGGACGAAGCCAAGGGAAGAACCCTCAGTCTATGTGACTAAACAGAAGTGGAGCAAATAACCCATGCCCACCATTCCCAAACACGCCGAAACCCCTTCCCCTCCACACACATGTCCCACAAACCCCTGCTCCGGCGGCACATTCCCATACCCAACACGCTTCCCCGCCACAACTCCCTTTCCCACGGGTAGCCACGGTCACCTTCGCGGACCATCCTCGCCCCAACCCCAACTTCTCACCCCACACTCCCTCACCACCCGAGACCGGGACTCTCCGACAGGTCTCCCTACTCCACATCCTCCCACACACGCACCCTCCCCACTTCCTCGCCCTCGCTTCCCTCCCGGCTCCCGAAGAGCTTTCCCCAACCTCCCCTCGCGCCACTCCACACCCCCAAACACCTTCACCCCGCCACAGCAGGCTCCCCGCCTTCAGCCCCGAGGCCCAGCCTGGGCATGTGGGGCAGACACCTCCTCGGCCGCCCCTCATGTCTGCCCCGGGCCGGGGGCGCCCGCAGTGATGGGAGCCTCCGGGAGAGGGGTCTGAGGAGGACGACGCCGGAGCTGCGGTCCGTGTACTGCTCGCCGCCCCCGGAGCGCTGGGGTGCGGAGTCGCCTCTTGGGTCCCTCGGGGAGTAGGAGTCCAGGCCGGTGCCCCCCAGCCCCGCTTCCTCCCGATCGTTGGAGCGGAGGGGAAGGAGGTTCCCCGGGACTCACCTCGAGCCTGTTGTCAACATTAGCCCCGGGTTTCCCAGCACCAACTCCAGCGCTCGGGCTCTCCCCTCCCCTCCCCCCACCTATCTCGCAGCCGAGGGCCCGCCTTCCCTCAGCTCCCCCTCCTCCCTCCGCCCGCCGGCCCTCCCGCCCGCCACTCACCAGCGCGGCCAGGCTGCGAGTGGGGGCGGGGCGGAGGGTGGGGGAAAGGAAAAAGCCGTCCACGCACTTGCCTGATCGCAAACTGTCCGGGTCTCCATTCCGCCGGCATAACGATGCCCTTGGCTTAACGCTGGGGTGGCGGATCGCGAGAAAAGACTCATAGATGTGCGACGCACAAAGCGGCTAGTTCAAATGGTCTACTCGATGAGAGGAGCGAGTTTTTCAGACAGGCAACAAATAGGGCAGCCACAACCAGCACCTCAAGCCAGGTCCCCAGCGGAGGGGAGGAGTGTTACAAGGACCGAAGGCAGGAAGTGGATTGGTCGCCTGGAAAGGGAAAGCGCCTGAATTAGAGATGCGCAGGCGCAGGTACTGCGGGCCGGAGGGGAGGAGGTGGGGGGGGGTAGCTAGAATGGGGTGGGGTGGAGCTAACAGGAGGTAAGGAAGGGCGGTGGAACAGTAGGAGAATTACGGAGCGCCATTAAGGACAAGTTTGGCCACGTGATCCTCAGGGGAGTTTCCAGGAGCTAACGTAAGGAAGAGGTCTAAGAAGGGAAAGTTTGATTGGACTAATTCAAGGGGTGAGGTTGAAGACCTAGGAAGTTAGAAACTGGAGAAGCTAAAGAATATGGCTGGTGAAGAAGGTACAGGTTGGTTAGGAATGGGTCTAGGTTTAAGAGTGCCCTAGAAAGACTACTAAAGTCCCGTGGGGGGATTTCCAGAAGCAGTTTTTAGGTGTTCCACGTAAAAACAACCCAGAGTGAAGAAGAATCAAGGTTTTTTCTCAACAGGTCTTAGAAGGTACCCTGTTCTAGCAAACGAATTTTAAAAATTACAATGAAATGACCTCCATGAAGTCATTATTGTAGTCACAATTGGCTAGTCTTGTCATTTCTTCCGAATGTGAAACGAAGTCAGCTTCTTAAAATGGGTATTAGTTTATCGACACAACTTAATTGAGTTTGTGTATCCGGCCTCCGATTTTTATTGAAACTGTGCTTGGATCTGCCAACATGATTTCACCGGGTGTTCGTACAGGTTGGCTTTGGCTGATCAGGAGCCAAAGGAACAAAGGTGCCAAACTGGTCTTGATTCTTGCTTGACATGTGGCGCCCCACCCGATATAGAAGCCCACAAAATGAGCTGCTACCAACCTCAACTACTTGAGGCAGGTCTAGGTTCACTTATATTCAGCTTTTGCCCATTTGCTTCTGTTTACTATTTTCCTATCCCGTTTAGCTTGCAAATTGCCTTCACAAGTTAAGTGTTAATGTTTCCTGTACTTAATTTTTTTTCCCCAAAACACTGCCAAGAGGTCAATCATTTAAAGGGTAGTGAAAGAGAAAGACAGTACTACAATTCTGTACCTCTGATAAACAGTTAGGAGAGAACTGTCCCAAAACACCTTACTGGGGATGACCACCAGTGTTCTTTTCAAAAGTATTTCTCATTTTGTCTGGCTACCCTAAGAAGATTTACCTATGCTGTTAATAAATAAATTCTGCTTATCCTAATTGAAGTCAACTTTTGCCTTTCATCGAGTATTAAAAGGAAACCAACTGAATACATGGGATCAAAAAAGAGGAGAGCATTAAAAAAAATTTTTTTTTTCCAGATGCAGGGCTCGAACCCACAAACTGTGAGACCATGACCTGAGCTGAAGTCAGATGCTTATCGGTCACCTAGGCGCCCCAAGAGGAGAGCATTTTTATGGAGATTTTGCTTATTTTAAATTTGTTTTAATTAATAATCATAATAATACTGTTGGTAAGTATTAGGATTCTCATTTTACAGAAACTGAGTCACAGAAAGATTAATTTGATACCACAAAACTAGTAAGCATAGCATTATATGCAAATCTAACTGAAAACCCAAGATATTTTTGATGTATCCTACTGCCTTTATGCCTAGACTTTTTCATAAACTGAAAATGCTCCCCATTGTTTTCTTTCCAAAGAAAGATGTCAAAAGCCACCGGAGCCTTCTAATGTGGGGTATCATTGCAATCTGTAACTGCAAGAAATACATTTCTCTGAAGAAGCCATCATTTTTGCATTCTGATAATTCAGACTTCACTTTTTCAGTAACTACATTATATTTAGCTTTTAAGGGTTTAGATATATCATTATTTGAGAAAATTCTAAAAAATGCCTTTTCCTTTTTGCCTGTTGACAGAACTGTATGATATGAAAAAAGAAAAAACTGATATGTATATATATATTTACATGATACTATTTTCTATTTAAGGGGTGCTTGGGTGGCTCACTTGGTTAAGCGTCCAACTTCGGCTCAGGTCCTGATTCCACAGTTCATGAGTTCAAGACCCGCATCAGGCTCTCTGCTGTCAGCAGAGTCTGCTTCGGATCCTCTGTCTCCCTCTCACTCTGCCCTCCCCTACTCACTCTCTCTCTCAAAAATAAATAAACATTAAATGTTTTTAAATCCAGTTATAATGCTGCTTCTCAGAAGAAAGCAAACGCAAAAGAAAGGGATTACAATATCAGGGCAGGACAAATCCTAAATTAAAAAAAAAAACACCTCATGTGAGATGAACTGCCTGCTGCTCTGCCAGAAATAATGCTGTATTTTGAACAAATCCATCTGTCTTTTAGATGCTAATGTCCAGCTTGACTAAGCTAGTTGAAGCTACCTGTTTCTTTAAGCACCCACCTCTTCAAAGTATATGGTGGAAATTTGTCAAACAACTTTACCTTTGTCTCTCTACTTAATAGTTTCTCGAATGTGTTGTGATATATTCATTCAATAAGAAATATTTAAGTGAGGGTACATTTAAGCAAATGTAAATATCACATATATGAAACATAATAGTACTAGTTACCAAATCATTGAGATATCTCATGGGACTGGAAGATTGAAAATCAGTTCACTATACTGCCTTCTATTAATTTGACCAAAATGGAAATGAAGCAATGTGAGCTTACTCTTTTTTTTTCTTAGTTTTGATAAATATGTGAGTCAAAAAAGCAAAATCAATCACAGGATTTTATGAAGTGCTTAGAACAGTGCCTAACAAATTAGTGAAAGTCCTGTAAATGAGATTATAATCTAATGAAGGAGCTGGATAGTAAATAAGCAAAAAGTTAAAAAGGTTGGAACATATGTGGCAAAGGAAATAAACAGAGTAATATAATGGAGAGTAACTGGAGAGAAAGAAGAGGCTGGCTATTGTAGAGTGGTCAGGAAAGGCTTCTGTAATGATACAAAATTTGAGCTAAAACCTGAAGAATTGAAACGTTCAAGTTTTGCAACTTGATATATAGATATCCAATGGGCAGAGAGGAGGGTTGTGGCATAGACGTGACAATTAGAGCATCATCAACATTGCTAGCATTCAAGGTCATAAGAAAGAATGAGTTCACCAAAGAAAATGTAATAAGAGGAGAGGGTCCAGGATTAAGCTCTGAGAAACTTCCAAATATAGTGGTTAGGTCTCTAAAAAGGAGGAGTAAAGAAAGGGAAAACCTGGAGAGTGCAGTGTCACGAAAACCCCAAAAAAGCATCAGGAAAGGAAAAGTGGTTAACTGTCTAAAATATTATTAAGAGAACATAATATGGGGACAGAGAAGGGCTCATTGGATTGACACTATAGAGATCAATATTGACTTTGTAGGTGGCAGTTCAATGAAATAATGGGGACAGATTTGGAATGGTTCAGGACTAAGTTAGGGATGGGAAAAGTGAAGACAGGTATTTGAGAAACTATTGTGAAGAGCCACAGAAAAATATAACTGGAGGAGATTATGGGAGGATTTTGTTTTGTGTTTTTTACATTTATATCTTTTTTTGTATTTTTTTATGAGAGATATAGAGGAAGTGTATTAATGGGAATGATCCAATAGGGAGAGAAATATTAGTGATACAGGAGACAGAAAGAAGGTAACAAAGGAGAAAAATCCTTGTAAAAAGGAATGGAATCTAAAGTACAAGCAGGAGTGCCTTTGATAGCAGTGGCATTTCTACAAGATATTAAGAGAGAAGACAGAGAAGATGGATGCGTGGACAGGTAGGCTTGTAGACTTGGAAGGGGGATTATAAAGAACTTCCTCCTTGATCATTCCTGTTTTCTCAATGAAATTGGAGTCAAGGTCATCAGCTAAGAGTGAGGTGAGGGAGAGACTGGGGGAGGTTTGAAATAAGAGGGGAAAGTAGGAAAGAGACACCTTAAAAGAGTGTGAAAGCAATGGAGATGCATACTAAGGATTGTTGCTGACACACTACTCGATGTTTCTGATCATGAATTTAAAGTAAAACCATCCAGGGGCGCCTGGGTGGCGCAGTCGGTTAAGCGTCCGACTTCAGCCAGGTCACGATCTCACGGTCCGTGAGTTTGAGCCCCGCGTCGGGCTCTGGGCTGATGGCTCAGAGCCTGGAGCCTGTTTCCGATTCTGTGTCTCCCTCTCTCTCTGCCCCTCCCCCGTTCATGCTCTGTCTCTCTCTGTCCCAAAAATAAATAAACGTTGAAAAAAAAAATTTTTTTTTTAAATAAATAAATAAAGTAAAACCATCCAGCCTACATATGCCAATTTCTCAAGAAGAGATGAACAGTTCGTTTTTTTGTTGTTTTGGGTTTGTTTGTTTGTTTTCCATGAGAGGGATGACAAAGAAAGAAAAGAGTAAGGGGATTGTGTGTTTGCAAGAGAGTGATAATCATGAAGGATCATGGGTATGGAGGGAAGTTAAGGGGAACAAGATGTGAGTGTGCATAGGGTTAACATATTGACAGGAGTAGAGGTTGCAAAGAAAATGGTGACCAAAAAACTGTTTAATAACAAAAACTCAACTGAGTATATTTGGAAGATCTAATTGGCTTTATTAAATGATTCATGAATTGGGCAGTATACCATCTAGAAAATAAGGGAAAAAAGCTCCATCAAGCTGTAGAAAAGAGACAGTTGGTTTTTTTGTATTTTTTTAAATGTTTACTTTCTTAAGAGAGAAAGAGAGAGAGACAGAGCGTGAGCAGGGGTGGGGCAGAGAGAGAAGGGAGACACAGAATTTGAAGCAGGCTCCAGGCTCCGAGCTGTCGGCACAGAACCTGATGTGGGCCTCGAACCCATGAACGTGAGGTCATGACCTGAGCCAAAGTGGGATCCTTAACCAACTGAGTCACCCAGATGCCCCAAAAAGAGACCGTTTCTTGCTTTGTTTTGGTTTGTTTTTTCTAAGTTAATTTATTTATTTATATGTATATAATTTATTGTCAAATTGGCTTACATACCCAATGCTCATCCCAACAAGTGCCCTCCTCGATGCCCATCACCCATTTTCCCTCTCCCCAACCCCGTCATCTACCCTTAGTTCTCATATTTAAGAGTCTCTTGTGGTTTGCCTCCCTCCCTCTCTGTATTTATAAAGAGACAGTTTTTAAAGGCAGAGAGTGGAATAAAGGAAATTATTAGCAAAGAATGCACTGTTTTAGGCAAGGTCACCCTCGTAAGGGGAGGAATATGAGTATATTCCTAGTGCTGACCAGGAAATTCCATGGTGACTGGTTAAAGGCTACACTCCTGTGAGGACTGCAACTGCATTAGGTAGTTAGTCTTGGTTTGCTGATATGAGGCCTTCACCTAAGTGACGCCATTTGGGCCCCGTGGTTTGCTTCTTTTTTTAAAAAATTTTTTTCAACGTTTATTTATTTTTGGGACAGAGAGAGACAGAGCATGAACGGGGGAGGGGCAGAGAGAGAGAGGGAGACACAGAATCGGAAACAGGCTCCAGGCTCTGAGCCACCAGCCCAGAGCCCGATGCGGGGCTCGAACTCCCGGACCGCGAAATCGTGACCTGGCGAAATCGTGACCTGGCTGAAGTCGGACGCTTAACCGACTGCGCCACCCAGGCGCCCCCCGTGGTTTGCTTCTTAACAAAACCAAGAACATCAGTGAACTAAAGGGGATAGGAGAGGACATCAGAATGTGGTTCTGGAGAGCTGCGGTAGCTGGGAGTAGAGACGAACAAGTCCAGAAGAGCTGAGGGCTTTTAAAGAGGATGGAAGAGGGGCGCCTTCCACGGAAAGCAAGACACATGTATCTCTGAAGTCAGACTACGTGAATTCAAATTCTAGTTCCAAAACACACCAGCTATTTGAGCTTGGGCTAATATTTTAACCAGTTTTTTTTTTTCTTTAGTCAGTTTAGATCACAGCTTTTAATTCTTAAGAATCTTGATGATAACAGTACTTTTTCATAGGGTTTTGTGAACAGTAAATGAGGTAATTCAAATAAAAGCACTTAGCTCACAGTATATGCTCTGTGTTAGCTAGTACTAAATCATTTCAGAAATATTAAACACAGTCATCTAAAGGATCTAATTGGCCTTGCAGTTCATATAAATAGTGTTTCAACACATCTTTCCTTGCCTTAATGCAACTATGACACCATTGCACCTGAAACCTTTTACACCAAGCATTGGAAATCTTGTGCTAAGAAGATGCACTTAAAATGAAAATTAAAAATAAAAGGGGGAAAATCAGATCATCACAATGTACACTTTAAATATTTTACAATTTTATTTTTCAATTGTACCCCAATAAAGCTGGGAGGCCAGCAGGGGAAAAAAAGGAAGAGATTTCTCAGCTGTTGTAACCAATAAAGGCAGAGGTTTGTAAATATCATCTTTTTTTTAATATGCACTTCTAATTTTTTTAATGTTTATTTGTTTTTGAGAGAGAGAGAGAGAGAGCGCGCAAACGAGCACGAGTGGGGGATGGGCAGAGAGAGAGGGAGACACAGAATCCAAAACACGCTCCAGGCTCTGAGCTGTCAGCACAGAGCCCCACACAAGGCTCGAACTCACAAGCTGTGAAATCATGACCTGAGCTGAAGTCAGATGCTTAACCGACTGAGCCACCCGGGGGTCCCTGTAAATATTGTTTCTAATTCTGGTTTTACTTCAGTGTGTCCAGCAGAATAACCAATCTCAATATTTGGGGGGAGGGAACTAATGAGTAAGTGGTAAGAAAGCTAATCCCAGGTCATCTAATTGTCTTAATTTAGTTCCTGAACTATATTTCTAAGTCTTTGCCGTGGGACAGCTGTGATGAAATATTCCACATATACTTCAAACCTAAAATGTTCAAAATTGGACTTCATGTTGGTCTGCAACTCCACTACTTCTTTTTTCATTTTTATTCTCTCAGTTAATGGTGCTAAAGGGCAATCAGAATATGCCACGCCAAAATATGGCACTTCAGCATGACCGTTATTTTCAGCTGAAGACCATTGAGAATCAACAGCTTCAGGAAGAATTCTCTAGAACTCCCCTTATCTGCTTAAAAGCAGTGCATGAATTTCCCTTTGTGAAGGTTTCTGCCCCCACCCCCAACTCCTGTATCAGGAAGAAGAGAGGGACTCTTATCACTGGTGATAGTCAACACCCAGAAGCGTTTGCATAAACAGATCAACCACAACAACCCTTATCTTCTATCAGTTTCCCCATGTATTTCCAAGTCACTTCCCCACACTGTGTCATCCCTTGAAGCCCAAGCCCCTTCCCCTTTGTTACAATGATGCACAAACCTTGAGTCTAACTGCTTCTTTGTGTCTTACTTCTTTTTGGTGAATTCCTGTGCATGTAAATATTAATAAAAATAGTGTGTCTTTTCTCCTGTTAATCTTTTGTTAGCTTAATTCACAATTCCAAATGAAGAACATAGAGGAAAAGGTTTTCTCTGGTTGTTAGGTAGTCCTTATTCCTCACCCCTTGTCCAAATACAATCCGCATGTCTCAGAAAGATAGGGGCGCCTGGGTGGCTCAGTCAATTGGGCATCCAACTTCGGCCCAGGTCATGATCTCATGGTTTGTGGGTTCAAGCCCCGCATCAAGCTCTGTGCTGACAGCTCAGAACCTGGAGCCTGCTTGGAATTCTGTGTCTCCCTCTCTCTCTGCCCCTCCCCACTCAGGCTCTGTCTCTGTCTCTCAAAAATAAATAAATATTGAAAAAAAATAAAAAGAAAGAAAGATCTTGCCTGGGTCCTCACCCATCTCTCCACCCCCACAGCCTCAGTTCATACCCACATAATTTAAACCCACACTGCTGGCAACCATCTCTTAGTTCTCCTGCCTAATTGCTTCCAGTCTTCTCCACTTCTGACCTCAGAGGGTCTTAGATCATTTAACTCCCCTTAGTGGCAATCATCCCCAAACTTCTTTGATCATACAATCATATGGGGAGGGGAGGAGGGCATCCTCCCAATGCATGTATATTTACTTCGATACAAACTGTGTATATATGTAATACTACACAAATATAGCCCCTTCCCCCAATAGAAAAGGTAAGAATAAAAAACTCACAGAAATTCTAATGTTTTTGCCTAAGTAAATCATCTTGCATACCCCTTTGTGCCGGTCTACTTTGGAAGCCACTGACATATGAGGTAAAACTCAGAGTCTTCAGCAGGAGCCCCTAATAATGCATACCTTTTGCCTATATATCTAGTCTCACTTCCTGCTATTTTCCCCACAGGTCTAAGTTCTAGCTATAATAAATAACCTGCACAGACTAGACTTCCTCTTCCCTTAGTGCACATATTATGCTTTGGTCTAGAATGCCCTTTCTCCCATGAATGTGTTCTAATTAGGAGTTCAAGCATCATTTCCCTGGGGAAGGGATTCTTTATCACCACCAGCCCACATATATCCAATTAGGTCCCTGGCCCTACCTGGTTTCCATAGTAGCCTCTGAACATCTCTGTTATAACATTCATTATATTATATTGAAATAATCTGTTTATATTTGTTTTCTCATTAAAACTGTGAGCTCCTTGAATATATGATTTATAGCTTCTTAATCTTTGTGTCCTGGGGCCACAGAAGGCATTTAATACTATTTTGATAGAAGAATTATTAAGTGAATGAATAGGAAGGGGATTAGAATATTCCACTCCAAAATATGCCACTTTGGCATACAAATTATTTTGAGCTGAAAGCAATTGAGAATCAACAGGCACAAAGAAGCCGCCTCGGGCCTTCCATTATCTGACTGAAAGTAGAAACCTCTATGAAATGAGGACTTCCATTGATCTTCTCTCTGAGAGATCTGTGACCATGAAGAAGATGGAAAGTTGACACCAAGATGAGTCTGAACAAACAAACCTTACTAAAACAAGCCTTATGTTCCATTAGTTTCCACATATATTTACCTTCCCACAACTTACTGCCCCTAGAAGTCTAAACTCTCCTTTGTCCAATCACTTTTCCATAATTTATCACCCTTTGTTAAAATGGCACATAAGCTTCTGAATCTACTTCTTTGGATTTTCACTTCTTTTCTGTGTAGCCTCCTTGCATGTAAAATTAAAAACATCAATTAAAGTTGTAAACCATTTCCCCCCTTTAATCTGTCTTTTGTTAGCTTAATTCATACACATCAGCTATAACACCTAAGAGGATAGAGGAAAAGTTTTTTCTCTTCCACAAATGCTGGCTTGGAAGAGGCAGAAATATCTGTGTACTGATGCAGGAATGTAGGATTAAACCAGAGCGAAAATAAGGTGACTGGGTGGCACCATTGGCTAAGCGTCCAACTTTGGCTCAGGTCATAATCTTGTGGTTTCCAAGTTCAAGCCCCATGTTGGGCTCTGTGCTGACAGCTCAGAGCCTGGAGCCTGCTCCAGATTCTGTGTCTCCCTCTTTCTCTGTCCCTCCCCCACTGGCATTCTTTCTCTCTCTCAAAAATCACCAAACATTAAAAAAAAAAAAAACAAAAAAAAAACAACGAGTGAAAGGGCGCAATACTTTAGAGGAAACAATCATAGACTGTCGTTTCATTTTTATTTAATAATTTTTTTAGAGAGTGTGTGTGTGCAAAGGGGAGAGGGCCAAAGGTAGGGAGAGAGAGAATCTTATGTAGGCTCCACACTCAGCACAGAGCCCAACATGGGGTTCAATCTCACGACCCTGGGATCATGACCTGAACTGAAATCAACCCTTGGATGCTCAGCCGAATGAGCCATCCAAGTGCCCCAACTTCTGTGTCAGTGGTAAAGGAATGGGTGTAATTTCCAACTTATTTGTCGTTGGGAAGACTGTACTGCAGACACAATTATGTTTACATTAAACTTCCCTAAATTTTCCCCATAGAAGCTGTAGAAGTAGCCATTCATATTGTGTTTTGCTCCCTTTCTTCCACCTTCGTGAAAGACTCATCTAAACCCTTTGGTTTAAATTTCTCATACCCAACATTCAATGTCAGTTTAATAATAATGACATAAACTGTCATCTTTTGGTACTTCCTACATTGCAAGTTCTATGCAACTATTCTTTTATTATTTTTTATTATTTTTTAAAAATATTTTTCTTTTTAAAAAAATTTTTAAGTTTATTTATTTTTAGAGAGGCAGCACAAGAAGGGTAGGGGCAGAGAGAAAGGTGAGAGAGAGAATCAACTATTCTTTTTTTAAATTTTAAAACAGCTCAATCATAATACAGCTAACATTGCTTATTTACTATGGGTCAGGCATTGTTCTAAACATTTATATGCACTAATTATTTAATCCTTACAATAATCCAATGTGACAGGTACTATTAAGCCCATTTTACTAATCGGGAAAATGAGGGACAGAGCAGTTAGGGAACCTGTCCTCGTTCCCAGCTGCACTGTCAGTGCAGAGCCCAAGGAGGGGTTCGATCCCATGAACTGTGAGATAATGATCTGAGCCAGTATCAAGAGTTCTGAGGCTTAACTGACTGAGCCACCCAGGCACCCCACCCCTTCCACTCATCCTCATCTCACTTAATGGCATCAACATCAACTCAGTTGTTCCAGAAGCAAAGCTAAGAAAGGGACAGGGGATGGGTCACTTACCTCAAGGATATTTTCTAAAGGAGCAACATTTACAATAGTTTTCTTTATTTTTTTATTTTTATTTTTTTAAATTAATTTTTTTTTTCAACGTTTATTTATTTTTGGGACAGAGAGAGAGAGACAGAGCATGAACGGGCGAGGGGCAGAGAGAGAGGGAGACACAGAATCGGAAACAGGCTCCAGGCTCTGAGCCATCAGCCCAGAGCCCGACGCGGGGCTCGAACTCACGGACCGTGAGATCGTGACCTGGCTGAAGTCGGACGCTTAACCGACTGCGCCACCCAGGTGCCCCTTCTTTATTTTTTAAATGTTTATTTATTATTTTTGAGAGACAGAGACAGAGCATGAGCAGGGAAGGGGCAGAGAGAGAGAGGGAGACACAGAATCCGAAGCAGGCTCCAGGCTCTGAGCTGTCAGCACAGAGCCCAATGTGGGCTTGAACCCACGAACCATGAGTTCATGACCTGAGCCAAAGTCAGATACTTAACCAACTGAGCCACCCAGGCACCCCAACAATAGTTTGCAAAGACAGTGTGTTAACATGATAGTTGTTATGGCTCTGATGAAATGATGTGAGAGGAAGGAAAGTGAAAATAAGACCATGGCACAAGTAAAGAATATGGTTAAAAAAAAAAAGGTACTTTAAAAATACACTCCCTCCTTCACCAAGCAGCAGGAGAGGATAAGGAGCTTGTTACAACCTGATGTTGTCCTTCAGTTATTCATCCTTGACACCTCTTTTTACTTGCATAACTCCTATTTCATTTTTAAGGTTGCAGTTTATGTAATCCTCCAGACTAAGTAACATTTGCCTCAGTTACATGGTTTCATAGCAGCTCATGCCCACCCTTCATGATTCTTTTACAATTATAATTAACTATTCATGTGATTACTTCTGTCTGACATTGTAAGCTCCTGAAAGTAGGGACCATGTCTGACTTTTTCACTTCTATATTCCAAAGAACCTAGCACAATGCTAGCATATAGTAGGTACTCAATAAATATTAAGTAAATGCCTGTTCCTTTCCATCAGATGAATATATGCCAGACTGATTTTCAATAAAGTAAAATAATGTCAAAGTTCTATTGTGTTAGGTAGGAGATGGGAGTCACTGAGTTATACAATGCTAGAATTGGAAGTACTCTCACAGAACACTCAAGATAAATACCACTCAAGCAAACACTTAAAAAAAAATCATTATCCCCACTCAAATACTTTATCTTTTGGGACACAAGATAAACAGAGGAAAAAAATGTTCACCTGAAAACACTGCCTCTATGTGTTATGGGAATTCAGGAAAGGAAGGGGTCAGCTTGGGTGCATCAATTAGAGGTTTCACAGAACACAGGTGGGAGACCTGGGCTGCAAGTCTCAATGGTGACAGATGGACTTTCTGAGAGAGTGAGCATAGAGATGAAAATCAGAAGTTGGAAAAGGAAAACGAGAGAAAAAGCATTCAGAATAGAAACAAAGGATAGAGGACTAATAGGACAAAGTGTCATGGCAGCCAGTGGAAGAGTCGCAAGATTGAATGCATGGATAACAGGCCAAAAGGATGAGCACAGTGCATCCTGCAGTCATACATTTCTAAAAAGGGTCACATAGCTATGGTAGGTGGTCTCTAAGATGGCCTTCAATGATGACTGCCTTCTGGTCTTCACACCCTCATGTAATCCCCTCTCCTTGAGCCTAGGCTGAATTTAGTGACTAACTTCCAGTGAGTAAAATACAGCACAAATGATGGTGTGTTAGTACCCATGTTAGTTTACAAACACCAAGATGCAGCTTCCTCTCTCTCTCTCTCAAT